TGCTTGTAAATTCCTGTGAGGGGAGGTGAAAGGAGGGGAAACTGTAAGCAAACAAGGCAACAGAAATTTCCCTCACCTCACCCTTGCCACTTACAACAGTACAGACTCTGCTTGTCTTATCTTCTCAGCCTGTCAACTATTTCACCATTTATCCAATGTCCAATCCAACTCTTCTTTTTCCTCCTAACGCCACAGTGCTTCTCATCTCAAAGCAAACGGTCACTTACAAAGGTGCTGTTTACACTGCCCTCACCCTAAACATACAGCCAGGCTTGCTCAGGCCAGATTTTGCTCCTTTCAAACAGCTTCAGCCATGTAATAGCCCTTATTTCACTGACGTCTGTATTCACTATTATCGCACTCAAGCGAGCTATTTAAAGTGCATCATGTTAACATTTATCTGAGTGTCCCTATCACTGACCCAGAGCTCTAACCGTGAATCACTTTGATTCCTGAAAATATAAACTTCATCCACGGTAGAAGAGGAAATTTGGTCAGAGATCAACATTCCTGCTTGAGACACTTAATCCATGCAGGCCCAGGTTTCACTTCTAATTTGGTCCCACGTAGAGCCGCCTGCATGTCTGACACATCATGGAGTCAAGAGGAGCCAGTAATGATTTTGTTTGGGCAAGCCCCAGAGCTTCACCCCCCCCCCCCAGTTATGTCACAGCTGTGACATAAAACATTTATACAGCTGTCAAGATTATTGTTTTTTCTTTTTATCCGATGAAGGTGACAACAGAACATATAAAACGCAGTCTTAGCCTGCTGGCATGAGGGTGATCCCTCATGTAGCTGTTACTGTGTGGAAAACAGGGCCTGACTGTGACACCTCTCATCAGCTGTTGGTTGTTACATCATAAACTTCCTTTTCGCCATTCCTCCTCCCCTCTATGTACCCATCATCCTCCTCCACCTCCTCCATCTCCCTCTCTCTGCTGATAACATCAATGTTTCCCGAGACCAGGATCGCCCTGACAGTAGGAAATGTTTCTGTTGCATAACGAAAACGTAAAAGCCAAATATTTTTCCAAAGTAGCCTTTTTTTAGTCCACATGAGTAAGAAGAGTTTCCTGGAATAAAGGAGACACCTGGGGGTGCACTACAAGCTTTGAGAGGAGCTCGTTTGTTTAGATATATTTATGCTATGCTTGGAACCGTCTCAGTACTTAACTTTAAAAAATATTTATACAAGTAAACCCTTTGTTTTTGAACAATGTTTAACAACCACCGGCGAGATTGTTTCTTAATCCTCCTGTTTTTCCTGCCATGATTTCAGCGCTGCGAGAATTAAACCCGACCACACCACTGAAAACGTCTGTTTAAATAATCTCATGCAGCGCCTTGGGAAACTGTTAACATACAGGCTTTGATGGAGTATCTGCATACACGGCCTTTAGCCTATTCTGCCATCTAGTGGTTTTAAAATATTCCTGCTTCACCTTCAGTATGGCTGTGTCAAAAGAAAACTGAAATACACTTCTGTATATTCTGTAGATTTTATGTAAGATGATCACAGAAAGCTTTTGTTCTCTTCATTTAAGGGGAGAAGATCCAAGGCTTCAAGCGAGGGAATCCTCTTGGTTTCCAGAACGATAAAATCCCTCCTAAATCACCCCGCCCCAGACGAAACATCTGGCTCAGCCGCAGCCAATCGGACGTCTTCTCCTGCAAGCCAGGAAGAAAAGTCAATGTCCAGGACCCTTACTATAACCCCCCTACTGCCAAGAGAGCCTCCAAAGCCCGCAAGATCAACCCTTTTACAGCCCGAGAAGATCTGTGCGGTGGGAAGATTAAGTTTTACGATGTGCCCAGCAAGTCCGTCTTCTCCCTGGTGTTTGACCTCCACTCGCCACCTGGAAGTGTGTTCAGTAACCAACCATGTGCTCTTGGGCCCGGAGGAGCCCAACAAGAGGCGTCTTATTACTGGCAGCAGCTGCCGGGAAGACAGTGTCACTCCTTACCGGTATCGCCCCAGCTTCCTCGCTCTGAGATCTTCCACCTCGCCGCTGCTGTTAGCACCAACAACGGTTCTGTTAACTGTAACTCCAGTCAGCTGTCCACAACTCTTCCAGGTGAGCTCAGCGAATGTTTGTGGAAAGATAAAAGATGAGCTTCAAGTAGAAAACAATCAACTAAAATTAGATTTTAGTTTAGTTTAGTGGCTAATGGTCCCTCTTTGAAGTGACATGTCAGGGACATTTGTGATTAACCAAGCAGTTTGCATGTAGCATGCAGCAAGCATTGTAAATAAATAACATTTTTAATTGCTGAGTGTGTAAGTAACTCTTTGCTTTGCGGTTTAAATTCTAAGCTAGAGGGTTGTGAACTCATAATATGCTTCTTTTCAGCTAAGAGTGCACCATACGTGAGGCGAGTAAGGTGATGATAACCAGAAATAAGGAACTCATGTTCAGTGCTGCTTTTGAGCAGGTTTTAAATAAGAGGATAACACGTTATCTTCTGTCAGTGATGACCACAGTAACGACCAAACCATATGTGTCATATTATTACATTACCTGTTCACTTTTAGGTTACTGTAACAGACATGAGTCATCATCTGTGAAGTCAGTTTCATTCAGTCTGTTTCATATAAATGAAACAGTGTGGGCCATCTCATGCTGCAGGAACAGAACAGTCTGTAATTATTAGGGCGAGTTTCCTCGTTCATGAGTTTTTGCTCCTTTAGTGTAGGTTGACAAGTTAATGCGATTATTTAAGTGTACATCTTTTGGGATGCATAAGAAAACTATTTGAGTTCCAGTGCAAAGTACACTGGAACAAGGACCATTACCATATCGCTATGGTAATGGTCCCACATAATTAGTAGCTAAAGTTTGGAAACTTGCATGGTTTAAATGATAAGCATGAGGGTGATGAATAACTGGCAATATTTGTCTGCAGACGCCGTGTGTGACCTTATTAAAGTCGTCCTTTATGATCTCAAAATAATAATGCACTTTGAATGTCGGACAGGAAATTCCAGTGGCAGTCAAATAGAGCAGCCATGTAATTGATAGTAGCTTTCCATGACTTAGTGTCACCGATTTACCCTATTTACACAAGTTTAAGTTTAGCCATAGATCAACATGTGTGTCCTACTCATAGTGTGAGAAATCTGTGTTCATCTGATCAACAACACTGCATCCAAACTACTTCAGATTTGGTTTGATGAATTATCAGGAGCCCGAGTTAAGTGCACTGCTGAGTTTGATGCTGCTTGGATGAAGGATGTGACAGACACACACACACACACACACACACACACACACACACACACACACACACACAGACTATTTTTGTTGCTGTCCTTTTTACAAAACAGTAACTTTATGATTACCTATATATGATACATTAATGGACATCTGTAAATTGTAGCTACAAAGAGTTAAATTCAACATAATTTACAAGTACAGCAGTCTTTTTGTTGTAACCTTTTATCCTTACTCTTTCGGCTTTTTTTTTTTTTCACAGGTACTAACTCACGGTCTGATGCAGGCCAAATGGGAAATGACATCCGGCAAAAGGTGGCGCTGAGCAGCTGGACGAAGAAATATGTCGTGGTTGAAATCCCACCCTACTGCGGGCAGAGAAGAGGGGAGGACGACGGGGAGGTAGAGGGAAGTAAGGAGGACTCGTTAGGGGAGAGCTGGTCTCCGATGATCCCCAGCAGTGAGAGAGACAGTGGAGAGGCCATGGACTGCTCGAGCAGCCCGGAGGACTAGCAGGAATGGGAACGGGGGACAAACACATGCCCAATGTAATGCACCCGCGCAAAATGCGTCGACACACTGAGGTGGTGGAAAAGAAAGCGGGGAGGACTCTGACTCCACAGAGGCAGCCGAAAACGGCTTTTAAAAGTAGACTGGACACATTTCAAATTTTTTTGGAGAATAAAAGATAAAAGGAAAAATCACTTGATTGTGATCTTTCAAGTGAATGTATCACCTGTTGACTCAATCAAGCACACTTGATTTGGATAAATAATTATTGTTCAAAGTTTCCACCCAGGTGTGAAAGTCAGCAATAGCACAAAAAGCTTTTTATCAACACAACGGACCCTCTGCATAGAGATTATTTTTCTGAAAAGGTTGTTTGTATTTAATATTGTGAGATGTAGATTTTTTTCTTTTTCCTCTAGGCAGTGTTTTGTCTATGAGGAGAGGTATTGAAGAGCCATTGTGTTGTGTTTAGGTTTTGATACTTTTTGTGTTCATTGAGAAACAAATGCTTATACTGAATCAAAAACCCCCGCATCAGATTTACAAGACCGTACGCTGATATTCAGATGAGAACGTGCCTAAAAGCACGAGACAGATGTTTAATCTCTCCCCCAGGAGAAAAAGGGTGACAGAGTTAAGGGTTTGTCAGTGATTTCTCTGTGAAATTGGGAAAAGGGTGGTTCCTCACTGCTCCTTCCTGCCAATTTAAAAAAACAACCTGGTGTCAGGCGACTGAAATCTTTCAGGAACATTTCTTGTTCTTTTGACATTTTTTAGCCCGCTAACTTTAAAGTACAGAAAAAAGAGGAGAGATAAACTAGTCAAACGAAAGCTAGCCAGTCTAAGCATTTTTTATTTCTACCCTCTGTAGGCAAACATAGATATTGTAATAAATGTCTTGTACATTTCTGGACTTAAAAGTTGCTGTCAGGCCAGATTTCCAAAACAGTCCCTCCAAAAAAGAAGCAAGCCAAAACACAGGTTATTTACTTGGATGTGTTCCAACTCAAGACAAGTTTAAAGCCACACGATGCAAATTTTAAAGAGCAAAACTTAAATAAAAAGCCAAATCTGAGATCATACCACCACAAAGACTGAAAATCCTTCCATGCTATGCACTGAATTATCCCTGGATTCAGAAGGATATCTGGATCTAGCTTCATATACATCTCAAAAATATATCACAACTCTGTCTCCCAGTTTTGATCATGTAAAGTTTTGATGCAAAGTTTCCAGTTTTTCGCCATCTCTCGCTCTAGATTTGTATGTACTCCAAAAATTAATCACTCCTGAGTTTGCCAAGTCTCACCACTGATTTTTTTTTTTTTAAAAAAAGAAGGGAAATAAGAAGATAAAATAATAATATTAAATAATCCGTCCATAATATTTGAGTGCTTCTACTAGCAGACGAACCATCCAGTGTGTGATGGGTTTGAAGTAACAACCTGCTTCCCACTTTACTCTTCTGATTAAGTATTACAGGATGAAGCTACTGAAGCATAATTAAATCCACTTTAAGGTTGATAATTGTAGCAAATGTTGGTAAACTATAGAAAGACGGGTCTTACGTCAGACTTATAAAAAAAAAAAACAGGGTTACTGTAAGTCATACAAACAGTGTTATCAAACAGTCCTTACAGATTTGTGCGTTGTCAGAAACTTTTCATGGTGGTATTGTTTTAACATTGCTGATACTGGAATCACTTTACTTAAAGGACTCAGTTGATGATTGGGTGTAAATATGTTTTCCAGTTTAACGTCATAACCTGGAGTTTCAAAGTCTTTCATGGTGACTTTCTGCCCTAGTGGAGGGAAAACATTTAGGCAACAGGAAGTGCCGCAAATAAATGCAGTTGTTATTTGGTAAAACTGAATAATTACAACGTACAGTACAGATTTTTTTTTTAAAGCTGCTAACATTTGGTTCGGTTTGTTCAATGAACTATGAGACCCTGTGACATGTTGTACTTTACACTCCACTGAATGTCTGATTTGAATCAGTCGTCTTTAGTTTTTCCATCTCCACCTTAATGAGTATTAAAATCCTTGTAAATGTCTATCCGAACAGCTCTGTGTACAAACTAAATGGCTCGTAAAGATTAGATTCATAGTGCTGAACATCAACGCCGATATTTTTTCCTTTGTGTGGCTTTTGTTGCGTTCTGCTGATCTCAGTCTGATCCCTCTAATAAGAACTAAAATGCACACATAGAGTGATATATACAGTCCTGTCCTATCACTACTCCTCTATGCAACTTTTATCACAGTTTTACAGGATAAAAGATCTAATTTCATATTTATATTGAAAAAAGTAATGTCTTACCTTTGTATATTTGTGTAAAATGTTTGTGGTACTTGCCTTGTTGAATACAGATTAAGATGTTTTTTGTTTTTCTGATTGAATAACAAGTTTGCCTGAGTTTTTCTTGTCTTACTTCAGGATGACTCCCGTCACCCTCAGAACTCACACTTCAGATTCCAGAGCCTATTTTAGCTTTCAGAAAAGATCAACCAGTCAGTCTTTAATCGGTTTATAATCACCAATAACCCTAACAAGCATCACTGAGTTGGAGGAGGAAGCTAGAGTACCTGAAGCTACACGGGCAGCATGGGAACATTGAAACTCTAGACAGATTCAAACCCAGGAACCTTCTTGTTGTGAGACATTCGTGCTGACCACTGCACCATCCTAAGCGAGATCTGTTTCTAAAATAAATGAAACTTCCCAATTTGATTTCCATGCCCGGAGACTGAAGACAAGCGATGCCAAAAGATGGTTAGTTTAATTCTCATGAGTCATATATTTAAATAAAGCAGTTCTGACACTGACACAAAATCCTTCAAGTCTAATCTGGTTACATTTCTTTCAGTTTACTGAAATGTATTTATTGTAACAGCCGTCCATCTGCAGGTTATCCAGTTCAGGGTCATAGGCCGAGAGACTTATCCCAGCTTCACAGGGTGGGAGGCGGGGTACGGCCTGCAGAGGTCGCCTTTCTGTTTTATGACCAGTAACATTCAATAAAATTCAAATCAAACTTAATCCTCGATTGACTGTTTGTAAAAATGTAACCTAGAGGTTTAAACATACCACAGTTCCTACTTTAGTTTGCAGTTGTAAGAAGTTATTTAAAACATACCTAATTTATAATCAAATGATTTCCAGCTTATAAAAACACTGACATTGTGCTTGAAAATGTAAAAACAACAACATGGGAGGGGAGGGGGGTGCAGGGATTACTGCTTTTGTTAGAGCCAGACAATCTCTTCTTCTACCCTCTGACGGCCCATCAGTTTTTTGGTACTTCTTTGATCTACCTCCAGCACAAGTAACTTTGATGTTTAATGGAAACACCAGACACCGATCTAATCTCTGATAGGGCTGAGATGTGTTCAAAGATGTGTTCAAGGACCAAGTTCAAATGCAGAGCAACTTTATTTACTTTTCAAATTTGCAGTTTGGGCTCTGCAGGGAAAAACTTATCAGGATTAAATTAGCATAGGTTACATGTAATAACAAAGGCAATGAATATGAAATTGGTAATTTAGGAAAAACAACACGTTGAAGATGAAGAGAGAAGAATGGGAGGTAGAAAGCCTCTTTAGCTTTTCATTAGCCTCTCATTAAGGCTGATGGATTAACACATAAAGCTACGTTTCATGAGTCTTTAAGGTGATTTGAAACCAGTAATTAAAAGGACTGAAGCTAGCATTAGTTCTGCAGTCTGATCACAGACTGTATATGAAAGATTGACATATGCTTCAGGTCTGAATTTTAAGCCATTGGAGAAGTGCTTTAAACCTGCATTCTTTTTAAAACTCAGTAGAGGGCGACTCTATAAAAAAAGAACTCAGTTTTACTGGGTTTGTGACCTCAAACATTTCATAAACACTGAGTTTATGTCTCACTGAATAAATTTGTTCCTAGTTGGAGTAAAACAGATGTGTTATACGGGGCATGTTTGAGGAGTTGATGAGTTTATTTCCACCCTTTACTCACCACAGCTGGCTAAAAAAAAAAACAACATAAAAAGATAAAACACTTAATAACAACTTTCCACAATCCATCTTTTCCATGCAGCCTGTGTGGCGCCTGATGGAAACACATTAGCCGGGCCATAAACTTGACTGTAGTTTTATAATTCTGTACCACTCAGTCTAAAATTATGTGTATATGTAACATCACAGAAACAAAACCAATTATTAAGTTCTCCACACGGGCAGCGGTTGTTTAAAATAAACATTATAAGTGTGCTGTTTTCTGATGAGACTTGAGGCTGGAGCGCTGGGTGAAGCACTTCCCGCACAGCGAGCACTCGTAGGGCTTCTCCCCGCTGTGGACCACCGCGTGTCTGATGAGGTTGCACTGTTTGGTGAAGCTCCGGCCGCACTGCATGCAGCTGAACGGCTTCTCGCCCGTGTGACTCCTCAGGTGCTCTTTGAGCTGGCTGAACCTGGTGAAGCTTTTGTCGCAGTACGTGCAGCTGAACCGCTTCTCGCCGAGCCCGGACCTCCAGGGCGTCCTCATCCTCCTCGCCAGGCTCAAACTGCCTCCAACTCTGTGTGTGGCGAAGGGGCCTGCGGGGTTCGGCCCAGTCCGGCCCTCATCTGGATTACTCGTTTGAGTACAGCTCTGTAACTGTTGAGGAATCAAGGTGGGATCTGTGGAGTTAATCTGAGATGCAGAGTTTTGTCCTTCCTCTGACTGTGGCCTCTTACATCCCAAACTTCTGCCTCGTCTTTTCACTCGTGCGGAACTCAGCACAACAGAATTTAATTTCCCAACAGAGTGAACTCTGGGTGCCACATCCTCCAAATGCAACAGGGCTGAAGATGCAAATGCAGCAGGAATCTGCTCAAACTGCTGCCCGGTGTACGGGACACCTGGGTCCCCCGTGTCTCTGCACACGCTGGATGGCCACAGCTGCCCCTCAGCTGTCTCTGTCACAAACGTGTGGGCTGAACCGAGTGGAGCTGCGTCCTCATCCGCCTCTTCCTCTTTCTCGTGTTTCACTACGAGTTCGATATCATTTTGGCCGCTGTTCAGCTGCTGTTCTGGGAAAATGCTGTAGCCGTCTACTTGGGAAACCAGATCTTCAGAGAGGGCCGGGTTTTCAGCCGAGTGGTAAAGCTCCGCAAAGCTGTCGCCTTGGGCAGGTTTTGTTGTGTCGAAATACGGCTGATGCTCGGCTCCAGAGACTAAAGAGAGCACATTACCAGAGAGATGCCTTTAATAAAACCTTTAATCAGTTAGAGCAAAGGTGTCAAACATAAGGCCAAGTCTCCAGAGTCACCCCACTGGACAGCTTTGGAAAATGTAAAGGAGGGTGTAAATTTTTCATATATTTATTTTCACATATTTCTGTATTTTCATAAATTTGACAGCTTGCCCTACTATTAAAGCTCTTCCCTGTGGCTATCCATATTACACCAATGTAATTAAGTAATAATTAAACAATTAAATTAGAGAAAATCTCCTGTTTTTTCCACAGTAAAACACATAAATGTGGACAAAAACTTTCTGCTTTATAACTACAGGACAGTCTGAACAATGATAATTTCACACATTTATTTCTTGCAACTCAATCCCAGAGTCAAGCTGATAGATTTATTTTATTAAGCAGAGCAGCATTTCTTTATCATATGTTGAAAGTAAAGGTAAAATCGTGCTTCTTTTTCCTCATATTGTGATATCTCAGGGATTAAATGGGCAGTTAAACCTCTTTGCACCAATAGAAAGGGAAGTTTCACTGGTTTGACCCACTTGGCCTCTGAGTTTGACATCTCTGATTTATAGTCGGCAAATAACAATTTGGCTCATTTGAAATTAATTTATAGTTGTAATTCTTATCAGATCATATCCTGGGCTTTGAATTCAGTGCAATGCTGTTGAACTGCAAACCTAGACAATAATTTGTCTGTAAACTGAACCATGTGTGTAGCATCAGCTCTGGTGCACATTAGCACACATACATATTAATTTGTACTCAGACTCAGGCTTCTCATCTTATGACCTGTATATAAACAGTGCATTTCTTTACCTTTACAGCTTATCTGAGTAAAGTGAAGTATTCCTTGTGCCTGAACGAAAAGTTCCTCTTAAACATCACATTGTTTTATTTCTTCACTATTAAAGGTGTGGACTCACTCGGTCTGTCCTCTGCATCATTTTTCCACATATCCTCTTCTGCACACTCCTCTTTGATCCGTATGTGATCAGGCCCATTAGCAAGCTCCACGGCCTCAGCACACTGCAACAGCAGGCTCAGGGTTAGTGCTTAAATAAGATGACACATGCACTGCGTGGTCAAGCAAATGCATCAGTGCTTATATGCAAGTTGTGCTAGTAGAGCTCTAGCCCATCTACAATGAGGTTAAATAAGGTTAACATCACAAAGTTATAAAGTTTTGTACTTACGAGTCAATATAAAATAATTATTACATATATTCTAATTTACTTTCCCGTGTTTCTATCTTAAGGATATAGGTTTAAAAAAAAAAAAACTCCCTTAAAGCAACTGGTTCCTCGCTGAGCCTGGTTCTGCCAGAGGTTTCTTCCTGTTAAAACTGAGTTTTTCCTTCCCACTGTTGCCATTCATAGGGGGTCATATGATTGTTGGGTTTTTCTCTGTATATATTATTGTAGGGTCTACCTTATAATATAAAGCGCCTTGAGGCAACGGTTGCTGTGATTTGGCTGTATAAATAAAACTGAATTGAATTGAATTGAACTGAACCCAGACTGGGAGCTGGTTCCACAAGGGGATTGGGCTCTTCTAGTTAAAGGCTCTGCCTCTCACTCTCACTTCTGGATTTTCTATGGGATAATATGGTGCACTGGTATAATAGCCGTACCCTACCTGCTGGGGTTGATCTGGAGCCTGAGCTTCCACCGGTGTGTCCCAATGTGAGCTCTGAGTTTCCTTGTTGAGAACTACTTTGACCAGAGGAGAGAATCTCCCCGCTGATGGATTGTTAAACACTAAGAGAGAAGATCACACAAAACTGTCAGTTATAAACAACAAAGACGTGACTCCTCAGCATCTCTCAGGCAGGTGTCCCCACCTTTTCTCCTGGCCCTCATCCGGCTCTTCCTCAGCTCTGCCTCCATCACCGCACACTTGCTCTTCAGCAGGTCGATGTCCCGCCGGCTCTGGCTCACCTCCAGCCTGAGCACCGTGCAGCTCTGGTCCACACGCCGGTTTATCTCAGCTACAGCCGCCTTGGCCAGGACTTCCATGACGGACAGCAGCTGATTCTGGAAGTCGCAGCTCTCCATCTCTCACTGGTTTCGGCTCCTTGTTACAGCACAAATAAACGTTTTAAGCTGCACACGTCTACGCGTGCTGTGTGTGAATCTGTGTGAAAGTATTAGAGCAGTGCATCCATCGCCGAAGCACAGCGGCAGAAGTATCTGCAGGTTCTTCCGCGTATGCTAGAGGGACGCTTGTTTTTAGTACCTCTGTGATCCAGACAGACGGTCACGACTGAATCCTCCTAGAAAATTCATGCAAAAAACAACAAGCCGATAAATGCGTCTGTGCGTGTTTAAAAATGTAGTTTCCACCATTACAGGAAGTACTTAAACGACACACCAAACTCACTTTCAGCCACAGGTGACGTTGTGCTATTACCGTAATTATTACATACAAGCGCACTGCGCGTGTAGCAGGTGTGATTGCGGGTGACTGATTATTATTTATTTTAATAATAATCATTTATTATGATTATTTATTATTTATGTGTAACTCCAATTACAATATGCTGTAACCTAGCTACTACCTTTATAAACAGCCAGACAACTGACTTTTTTGCGAGATACAGATGTCTGACATATTACATGTGTAATATGACTTTTACATTTTGGAGGGTTCGTTTTTAGGCATGGTTTAGGTTGTCATGCCCATTTAGTGCAAAGATTAAAGTGATTGGGCCGCGAAAGCCACAAGGAAAGAAGCTCCTCCTTTCTCTGTAGTTTCAGTGTGCGTAGCATGGCTGATATGGCCAAAGGAGCATTTTTCTGCTGTTTCAATACTTTTATTCTAAGAAGAGACTTAACCTTCCTGTAGCATTTATGAACACATCTGAAAAGAAAGAAAGAAAGAAAGAAAGAAAGAAAGAAAGGAGGCCATAAGAAATGTAACAGACAATTTAAGCAGTGAAAAATTATGATAACAAAAAAAGAGAGAAAGAAAAACATCATTAACATTGGGTTACAGTTACTAATATAAACCACTCTCTGTCCAGGTTTTATCCCTAAGTTTTCGTCCAAACTTCGAGACACTCCACCTTAGATGAAACAGCTCACTGCAAATAAGCATTAAGTTGTTATGAGTGATCGGCTTCACCCTGTAATCAACTCTTATAGGATGGTGAGGATTATACTGGTCTTTATATACTATCTTTTGGAAGAATGGTGATTGTCCAGTAGAGTTCATGAGTCTTGTACAGTCAATCAGTGGGCATGCGGTGCCCCAGCACCTTAATCACACACTTTTCCTTGTTTTTCCTTTCATTTGTCCTGTATGCTGTTTTTTCTCTATAGTCTAATCATCACATAAAATTATTCTGAAAAAAGTTATGCAATTAAGGTAAAAATAAATAAATAAATAAAAACTATCATGGCGTGAATGATGCAGGAACACACAAAGGCAGGCTAACAGAGACAAAGGAGGGGTTATGTAAACCCACATGAGTAGGTATAATAGAAACACCAGGGTAAACAAGATGCAACTGAAACTAATTAGAACAAAAACAAAACAAGTTTAACTAATGACTAAGAAAACAAAAGAAAACAGAAAGTAACTAAATGGGGAATTCCACGAGGAAGACAAAATCTTGAGGAGGCAAGAAGAAAAGAAGCGTAAGAAATCAAATTTAGATAATATTAATAGATTGTTTTTTAAATAAAACACACAGTCTTAAACTGAGGCTAAACCAGCAAATATACACTAACCCCCCCCCCCCCCCCCCCACACACACACACACACAGGTGGGCATCCATAAAAATGACCAAGTTGCAAGAAAACAAAAAGCAAAAAGAAATAACAATCCATCCATTTTCTTCTGGTTATCAAGTTCAGGGTGGCAGTGGGGTTGGAGCCTGTCCCAGCTCTGATGGGTGAGAGGCAGGGTGAAGGTGAGGGCACCATTCTGCTGCAGGCCTAAAACAAACAACCATTCATGCTCATGTTCACACCAACAGCCAGGTTAGAAGGCGACAGATTTGAATCCAGGTCCTTCTTGTACTGCACCACTTTGTAATTTCTTAGTTACAGCCTTCATAAATTTTGGGAATGCCTTGCAGAGTACTGGCTCAATAACCTACTGGCAAATACAAAACCTTAAAATCCACAAGACTAACTAAAAGATTTTCCGACAATTACATGTGCAATATTAATCAAGTGCACAACCTGGCAAATTTAAGGTTATTGTTAAAACACTGCATAAAGCACTGATATAAAATCCATTACTTATGACCTAAGAGTGAATTATAAGTGGTGACTATGTTGTGCCAATTTGTTAGAGATGATACAACAAGAAAATTGCATGATAACAGCTGAAGAAGCAATGGAGCATATTAAAATACAGGAAGTTACAAAACTGTATCTCAGAGATGCAAATAAGTAAAGGAAGGTAAACCATCTAGAGAAAAACAGTCGGAGAACAATCAGGTGTGATAAGTATTCCACACTTATCTGCTTTAACAGGGATTCTTACAACTAAATCTTTTACAGTAGAAACCATCTGTGATGAACTGTAAAAGGGAAAAAGCCCAGACTTTTTATGTTTCTCTGCAGTGCTTTGTGACTCTTTTGTTACTTTGTGGTGCATTCGTGTTCTTTGTGGTTTTCTGAACTACTTTTCTTGCTCATGTGTTTGTCTTCTCCTTCATTGGCACAGTGTGACTAGCTTTAGTTTATCTTATGATTTCACTGACATACTGAATCTTTGTATGACAGCTGTGTGGAACTCCGGTGATAATTCTTGAGCCCCTATGTGATACTTTGCTGGTACTTATATTTATATTTATATTTATACTTATATTTATATTTATATTTATATTTATATTTATATTTATATTTATATTTATATGTAGCAATGATGTAAAACTGTTAAAATGGAAGAAAATGTAATCAGATTTCATCCCTCATCTTTAAGGTACGTTCAGATCTACTTATTTCAGTCAGGGTGATGGAGCTCGGCCCACAGAGAGACAAACGCAGCGCATGTGAGGGAAATAGATGAACTGTACAGATACTATGAACTGATTTCCCTACTCAGCAGAGGCGGAGAAACACAGGGCCAAATACAGAGAGAAAGCACAAGAGAAGGAGAGACACTCAGGAAGTTAAACAGGGGAAGTTTAGTGGTTTGTTGCGTCATCGTTTTATGCTGCTACTTGTGTGCCGATGCAGAGTGAAGGTAGGAACACTTGTGTTCGCTTTTTAATTTGTTTGTTTCCTCACATTTAAAGTCTTTCCAAAAACGTGGACCGATTGGGAGGGTGGTGGATGATAGGAGAGTAGCGGCAGGTGTCAGGAAGATGGAGAGAGTGGGGAGAGAGTTTGAACGTCTCTGTGAATCTATATGTTCAGTGCTCGACTTCCGCTGAAATGAGAACAGGGCCGCGATGGCCCTGACATGAGGGCAGGGAGGACAGACCGGGCTCTGTAGTGAGCGTAGTCCTCAGGCAGGAGCGGAGATTAGAAGCTTAAGTTGGTCCACCACCTCAGAGAAACCTTGTAGCATGATTGGAGCGAAACGTTCAGGGGCTCTTTTCAGTGAATACGAGAAGTACAGACGCAAGGGTGTGGCCTTTCATTCGAAAATAAATTGAGTGCATCAGGGGGAAGTGAAGGCGTCATATGCAAGGCGAGCGTTCAGTGCAGTTTGTTTGATTTTGACTGTGAGATTGTTCATTGTTAAAACGTGAAACTGCTATATCCACAACGAAACCGTTATCATTTCTGCTTTTGCAGGGAGGAAGACACAACAAAGTATGTCCTAACGCTCGATTTTACGTGACAGCCCCAATGCAGCGCAGCTCACAGAGGAAACAAGCTGCACCTAACAACATGCACTGAAGCAAAGGAAACAGAAGCAACAGCAGCACAGTCAAACCTCTGAAATGTGCAACGTTTTATCAGAGTCATCGTCACTTTAACCATTTTGGTCAACGCATCCAGAACAGACAGTCAGTGAACCTGACCGTCACCAGCAGGGTAGAGGGGACCAGTCTGAATGTGAGGTGAAAAGAGAAGACAGGAAGAGATGAGGAGAGTTCGAAGAAAAGGGGGCAACAAAGAGAAGGTGTTTGGATGTGATCTGTTGGAGCATCTAAATACCTCTGGTCAAGAGGGTAAGTGAGCAACCCTGACTAGAAAACATGTCCTGCTCTTATTGTTGTTTTCTGCACTTGTCATAGTTTTCTTCATTGCATTAAACACCATCCTGCAGAGATAAATCATTTAGACATGGGTGTCAAACATCAGCAGAAGTACCGTTTATACCATGTAGATGAAACATGTCATAGAAGTGTTACTAAACTGAAGCAACCTGCTATTAAGCACATTTCATGGGATATTTCTCATGTTTCTCAACTCTTTAGCATCTCACTCTGCAGTAAAGTGCTTGCCTATGCTTTTTTAAAAAGCATAGGCAAGGCCAACGTTCAGATTATGACTTTGCTTGTCAAACCACACCAGGCTGAGTCAAACATTTGAAAAAGTCTTAATCATTTTATAATGTGACCCCGACTGACTCATTGTGGGCAAAGCGTGGGACATCGCAGGGCAAATTACTTTGGGGGTAAGTAAAAAAAAAAAAAAGGTAAAGACTTTTGGGAAAGTGTTCTGGCACTGATGAGACAAAGGTTGACTTTTTTGGAAGAACATCAGACCAGCAGTCATAAGTGGGCATAGTGTGACGGTCTGGGGCTGCTTTGCTGCTTCAGCACGACTTTCTGTAACTGATGGAACCATCTCTTTACCAGAAATGCTCAAGGAGAACGTCTGGGCAACAGCTCATGCCCTAAACCTCAAACAGAGTTGAGCTGAAAAGAAGGACAGTGATCCAAAACACCAGCTAGTCCACCTCTGATTGGTTTAAAAAACTCCAAAATAATGGTGTTGGAGTGTCATAGTGAAATATTCTTTAGCATGACCTTAAACTGGCCATTCATGCTTGAAAACCCTCCAGTGTGGCTTTATTAATTCATCCTGTAAACATGAGTGAGCCAAAATTCCTCCAGAGCAAAGTGAAAAACTCATTGCAGTGATCACAAATGTTCATTGCAGTCGTTGTTGCCAAGGGTGGCAAAGCTAATTATGAGGCTTAGGGGACAATTGAACAATGAAATTACAATTTAAAAGCTGCATTTTGTATTTATTCAGGTTGTCTTTGTCTAATATTAGAATATGTTAGATAATCTGAAACATATAAAATATAACTGTGACAAATATGATCAGATGGGGGCAAACACTTTTTTGTGGTACTATAACTGGAGAAACAATGATTTTTGCACTTCAGCTTCTGTTTTATTTTCTGGTATTTTAAGATTTTAGCAGGGATGCAACACATTTCTTGTCAGTAATGTTTCCACTTACATGAAATAAACAA